GTGGACAACGCATCTATTGGTTCCAGCAGAAGCCAGGGAGCCCTCCCCGGTATCTCCTGTCCTACTACTCAGACTCAAATAAACACCAGGGCTCCGGGGTCCCCAGCCGCTTCTCTGGAGCCAAAGATGCCTCGGCCAATGCTGGGCTCCTGCTCATCTCTGGGCTGCAGCCTGAGGACGAGGCCGATTACTACTGTACAATTTGGCACAGCAGTGCTTTCCACAGTGACACAGACATGCGGGGAAGTGAGACAAAAACCCCAGGCCACTCAGAGTCTCTGAGGCTGACTCTTCTCTATTGTTAAAATCACTTTCATGTGCAGTCACTCTCCCTGGAGACAGCACCCTGGTCACAATGATATTTCCCTCAATTTCTCATTCACACTTCTGAGGGCCCATTAATACAAAAAATAAAAAATCGGTAAATGAAGAAATAAACTGGGAAATCAGTAAATAAATAACACTGAAGCTTCACATAAGGGCGCTTATGCAATAAAAGCCACAACCCATAAAGCTCTCCTAGGCTGGAGTGACAATAAACTCCTGGAATAAGCAAGTTCAAGTTTTTAGGCAATTCTCCGCCACCCATACTGAGCAGCCTGAAGGACATTAGTAACCGGATGCAGCTAATATCTCAGCCCCACACACTACGCAGGGGACCTGCTCATTCTTCCGTGCTGGGGAGTGACATTAGAAAGATCCATGTGTGAGGATGCCCTTCCAGGAGAGCAGGCTGGTGTCTGTGGGGCTGGAGGGCCCAGGCTCGGAGACCAGCAGGAGGCGCTGCTGCACTAGTCTTCAAAGGGCAGGCGCTGGGCCAGACCAGTTGGGACAACACTAGCTCCAGCAAACTTGGCCTAACAGTGTCCTCACTGAGGTGTGACTTTTCTGCACCTGGGGTCCCCAGGAGCCACATGAGCTCCCAGCTCTGACTCACACCCCTGCATCCTCTTCCACCTCCAGCCCCCATAAAGTCATCTCCCAGCCTGTACCCAGAAGGACAGACCCATCACAGGAACAAATCTGAATGAAAACACCGAACCAATAAGATTGTCTGCACAGAGGACAACCGACACATGGAGAGGACTTCATCAGTCCCACCAATGAGGCCTCAGCAAACAGAGCTCTGAGGGCATCTCCACCATGGCCCCGTTCCTCTCGGTCCACTCTCCTCACATGTTAGAAAGGGCGTTTCCGGCACAGGACCAGTGAAAGGATAGTGCAGCTTTTCTGCACTGGCTTTTGCCCCTGGTATCTGGAAAAGAATGTCACTCATGCCCTTTCTGCCAATTTTTCTCTTGCTTCCAATGTCCCGAGTCAGACCATACACCATGCCTGCAGCTCTGTGAACAAGCAAAACAAACCTACATATATACAAACGTGCACACACACATACATATGCACATACACAAAATCAGCTATCAAATCTTTTCCCCTCTAACAGAAGTCCAAGCCAGAAAGCATCATGAGAAAGCTCTATCAAACAGACAAGACATTTTTCCAAAGACTTAGAGTAGAAGGAACACAGGCTAACCTTATTTTCTGCTTTCAGCAATATCATGGCATGCAACCCAACAGGAACAATATCAGATCTGAAAATTCTAGGAAAATCTCATGTATGAACACAAATGCAAATCTCCTCACCATATCAGGAAACAGAATGCATGTTAGTTTGAGACCCATCACCATAACCACCAGGGAGGGTTTGGGCTGGTGGGGACATGTGCAGTCTCTGTGGGATGTTAACATGGATTTTGGAGGAGAGCAGAAATGGAGAGTGACTGAGGCCCTACATGGTCTGCAGGCCACGCCCACTGCACCTCTCTGCCGCTATCCACTAGCTCTGCCCTAATCAAATCCACATCTTAGCTGCTTTTTTAGCACACCTAGTGTCCCATTTTAGCCAATTCAGTGTTGTCCTTTCTTGTTTGGGACATTTTTTTCTTGATATCTACATGGATTTTTTTCCTTCATATCCCCTTTTGAGGTACGAATACTGTAGTAGTTAAGGTTGTATGTCAACTTGGCTGAGCCAGGTTGAGTGACTGGGCAACTAGATGTAGGTATTCCCCATGGTGAGATTGGTCCTTAATTCCATGGTGGATTCTATTGGAGCGGCTGAGTAGCTGCTTTAGGGATGTAGTCTGCTTCTGGAACATAGGAAGCAACTTTGAGGAAGCTCTCCAGCTTGTTGGCACCCTTGAACCCTGCACGGAGCCAAGTCTTCATCCAGTAGCCTGCCATGCTCTGCTCACGTGGGACCTCCAATGGGCTTGAATCAATGGCCTGCCATGTGGTTTGGTGACATTGGGACTGTGCCTTTTGAATTGTTGACCTTGGGTTTGTCAGCCTCAGCAGCTAGCAGCCGCCTGAGTAAAGAACGCCTCTAGCTTCAGTGGGCTGGGGGCCAGAAGCAGAGCTGAAGCCCAAGGTGGAGGGTCTTTCACCCAGCTCCTAGAGCCAGACACTTTGAACTCAAACTTCTAGCCTCTAAAACTGTAAGAGAACAAACGCCTCTTTGTTCAAGCCATCTCATTGTGGTATATTCCATTCAGAGTGTCACTAGGTGACTGAAACAAATCCTCTGAAATTCTCTCTACCTGACTGACAGGAAGCTCTAAGAATGCTTAACTTTTTTCTCTTTGATAGTTACTCTATCCAGTGCCCTAAAAAGTACCTGGTTTGTGGTAAGTGCTCCATCAATATCACTCAATGAATAAAACATACCTGTTGCCATTATAAAAACCCACCAATAAATACTTCTTATTATTTTCCATTTAACATGGTGAATTTTCTCAGCATGTTACTGATATAGACTTGAAACACCAGACAATTGTGTCCATCACTCCATCACTTTCAATAAGAAGGTGTCAGTGACACTGACACACTGTGACCCACTGCCCCCCATTTGCCAGGTGGTGATAGCAGAGCCCAGGGTAAGTGGCACCTACAAGCCATGCAGGCCTTGTCCACACGTCAGAAGAAGGACGGCCTGTGAAAGGAAGATGAAACAGAACCCAGAGTCCCCCAGTTTAATATCACTTGTCAGACCAAGGACTGGGAATATCAAATCTAAACCAGAAACTACAATCAACAGCCACCAACATTGAGAAGACTCAGATCATAGAATCATGTTACATCATTTTTTCATCAACAAGTAATTTGCAAACATGCTGGAAATTCACAGAAAAGAAGAAAAATCCCAGGACAATATGAAAGTCATAAAATCAAAGCCAGTGGAAAATATAGAACTGAAAAACCAAATGGATAGAAGGCTATCCTCGCTGGATTTGTAGGGAAGGCTTACACTGAAGTTGAGACATTGGGGGAGAGTTAACACAACTGGGAAAGGAGTGGAAACAAGCGTCAGCAAAGAATAAACATGCCATGAAATGGGTTTGTGACGTGAGAAAATGGTGACCATTCACAAATACTCATCACTGTTTGTGTTTGGAAAGAAAGAGGAGCTGTTGTTGTTGTTGTTCTTGGAAGCCATTTGGTCAATTCACACTCAGAGTGACCCCCTGTGACTGTGAGGAGAACTGTCCCATAGCGTATTCTTGACCATAATCTTTATGGAAACAGATCGCCAGATATTTCATACATGGATCTGTAGAGTGGCTTTGAACCAACAAACATTTACTTAAGCAATAATTCCACAGTATTCGTATGGTCTGAGGATGTCACCAGAGGGCAATGTCGATCTTCTCATTGGTGAACAAGGTCAAAAGCAAACTCAAGAGGTTTAAAGCTGAAAGGGACACAGACACTTGCTCACTGGCCCAAGTAAGAGGTTACAGCAGCTGCTTCCTCCCAAGGGGCAAACTCAGAGCTCACAGCCCTCCCCTCTCCCTGGCGGTGGAGCTGCTCCCGGACTGAGGAGCCAGCCTTGGGCGGTGGTGGTGTGGTGATGAGTAGGAACGGACTGGATGGCAATGCGTTGGGCTTGGTTCAATGGTGGACTTGGCTTAGGGCTTGGATTTGCATAATGCTCCACACAAAAGCAGACCCTTCCCCCAGGAGATGAGGGGATAAAGGAGGCATCAGAGCACCAAGCACCAGCTGTGGGACCAGAGGGTCTTTGGAGAGTCTCCCCCATGCCCTGGACTCCTCTCCTGCTCCTGGTCCTGCTCCTCACTGATTGCCCAGGTCCATGGAGTTTTCAGAGACTGGCCTTTAGAGGGATCCCTCTGCCTTCCCCTCTCATTCCTAACATGGGTCTGCTTTTATTTCAGGGGCCAGTTCTCAAGCTGTGGTGACTCAGGAAGGACAGCCACTTTCACTTGTGGTTCTAGCACTGGAGAGGTCACCAGTGGTCACCATGCAAACTGGCTCCAGAAGAAGTCTGGACAAGTTCCCAAGACCTTGATTTCTAGCACAAACTACAAATGCTCATGAAACTGGTTGTCAGCCTCCCTCTTTGGGCAAAGATGCCCTCACCCTCTCAGGGGCCCAGCCTGAGGATGAGGCCGAGTACTGCTGTGCCCTGTGGTACAGCAACCATCTCCACAGTGACAGATGCTCATGGGGAAGTGAGACACAAACCCCTGGGTCAGCCTCAGCCCTTCACTCCTGATTCTTTCAGTCTCTTTTCTCAGAGACTTGCTACAACCTAGTGTTGGTTCAGGAACCTTGTTCTACACACACTCAGAAGACATGGTCAAACACAATCCAAGGTCAGAAAACTTACATTCTTAAGTAACCACTTTATGATTAGTAAGATGTGATCTGATCAGTCAGTACAAAGACACATCAGCCCTGGGCAAGGGAATGCACTGGAGTGACCCCCGAGAAGGGACATGGGGTGTGTGTGTCTTTGAAGTCAGAAATCAGATTAGCCATCACTTTATTACTAAGAGAAAAGCTTGGCGTTATAGTGAGAAGTAGTTGGAGAGAAGTCAGCTGTAGAATGAAGAAATCAAAACATGCCAGACCCTCAAAGCCCATGAACAAACTCTCAGTTCTAACTGACGTATCAGAGTGGAAATTCGGAAATCCACATGTCTGCCACGGAGGTGTCATGCCTTGTGCAACCAGACTCCCGAGGCCCCCAGAAGAGCTCAGGTGGGGAGTTCCAAGGAACAGTGCAAAATTGATAACAGAGAAGAGGACCCCAGGTCAGGGTGCTTCCTGAGGAGCCGTTGGACCCTCAGGCGCCCAGCCCCAGGCAGTGTATCCTAGTCACTGTGCGTGAGAGTCCCAGGGGGTGGGCGGACCACCCACAGATCCCTTCAGGAAAGGACTATGTCTTTCCTGTGGGAGGATGTCATCAAAGAGTTAATACCAAAGATAGTAATACAACAAACTTTCTGTGTGTGTTTTTATGTAAGAAAGACCACTTAAGGATTGATTTATTGGGCAAAATGTATTATTGTCATTGTTATGTACCATGGGGTCAGACCCAACTCATAACGACCCCTGCTTGGGTTTCCGAGGCGGTATCACTATGGAAGTAGATTGCCCAACCTTCCTTCCAAGGTGTGGCTGATGGGTTAGTACCACCAGCTTTCTGGTTAGCAATCAAGTGCCTGAGGAACTACACTACCAGAGCTCCTAAATATAAGCATACAGTTATCATTTTATGGGCTGTAATTGATATTTTAAAAAGTAAAAGAAAATAAAAGAAAAACCACTGCCATTGAGTTGATGACAAGTCATAGTGACCCTGTAGGACAGAGTAGAGATGTCCCATAATGTCTCCAAGTCTGTGAATGTTGAGCAAAGCAGACTGCCTCATCTTTCTCTCATGGATTGGCCAGTGGGCTTCAGCTGCCAAATTGTGGTTAGTGGCTCAATGCTTTAGCTATTGCCCCACTAGGGCTCCTGACATTGATATGAAGCTGGTACCAACTTGCACCACCATCACAACATATGAGAACCCTTCCCCCTCCCCTCTCCAAGAGCAGCTACAGAAAGGGCCTTCTCAGATGAGGGAGGGGTGGTTCTGGAAAAGAAGGACTCAGTTCTCATTGGATGCAGGTCAAGCTTGGAGAGGAAGGCCTGGTCCCCTGTGCAGTCAGGGGAATGGCCCTGGGGACTCATCCCTGCTCTGAGCTTCCTGGTGGCTCTTCCATAAGAATTCCTTTG